GGCGAAGAAGAGGTCGGCGATGGAGTTGCCCGCGACGGGGGCGGCAAATGAACCGCAGTAGCTGGTTTTGATTGTGTTGAAGGATCAGGATGAAGACGAGATCGAGATGCAGCCCAGGCAGAGCCATGGAGGGGGGCGGGGGGGGGGGGGGGGGGGGGGGGGGGGGCTTTATTATTGAGACGTGTCGATTCATCGAAACACCACGTCACAGACAGCAGGCCAACGTACAACAACAAGATGAAAGAGTAAACGAATGTATTAAGAAACGGTTGACAAATGAGTCCAAGTCAAGATATCATGTATTCCCATATGTCGTCTCGTCAGCATCCATTTTAACGACCCCTATTGTGACTGTGAATATAACCATTCCAAATCCCTCCAACGCCGTTCTCCCCTAGCTAATTAATCACCGGGTATCCGTCCTGCTCGTATAATCCTACAAAGAGCCCTCCTTTACTCGCCCCCCACATTCGCCTAAAAAACATCTTCGATAATCAACTTCTCGTCCCATATTGCCATACAATACAGTGTGCTTCGGGGTTGTCAAAAGACGCCTCACTGTCGGCGTGCTGCGCCATCAAGCATGAAAGGCGCCAACCCCTGGGCTGACTGTCAAACGCCGCCACCCATAAATGCGGCAAGGTCATCTAGGTCGAGAAGCTGCCTCTCGAATGCCTGGCAGAGCTCTGGTGCCGTCATGTCTTGGCTCGTGGTCTGGCCGTCTTGTGTTGCCGCGACTCCGTTCGATCCCACGTCAGGACTTCGCTGCTTCACATCGCCAGACTGCATTGTAGCCAGTGGTGCGCCCGGAGGGGGCGATGTAGTAATGGAGGGTGTCTGTATGCCGCCAGAGCCCCCATTGATTGTCGTAACGCCGCGTCGAGGAAGAGGGACGGCAGGTGGTTCACTGTCACCTCGAGCGGATTCCGAAACTGACCTTGGAGCAGAGCCGTGATGGGCAACCCCAGACCCTCCGGCTTGCTGATCGTACTCCATCGCATCAGGGTTAGTGTCAGCGTTGGAAGAAATCTCATCTTTAACACCAGAGGCAGACCCGTGCCTATGAGTTGCGGGGATAGCGTTATTGGTTGCCGCAGCGTCATTGTTGAGGACCCGCTGCATGACAGCAAGATGCCTAAGCCAACTTGACATTAGAGGCCAACTCTCGGTGCCTTCATGCATGAACTTCAATCCATCCTTCACAATGTGGGCGGCTGTTTCGACGGCATTGGGAGGTGTAAGTCCCTTAAGAGACAAGTAGGCAACAGTTGCGCTGGCAGTGAATGCAGAAAACAGCATCACAATGGGAAAACAAGTTGGATGGTCCTTCTCAGAACCAGCCTCCACAGCGTTTAGAAGCGAGATGGTTCCATGGCAAGAAGTGAAGAGCCGGTCCACGACATCATGGCATCGGGGATTCATTCGGAAGGACTCCAAATTAAAGCTCGGCGATATAACGTCCTGCAGCAGACGCCGACGATGAACGAAAACAGATGCACAATGTAGCAGGCAGTGCAGCATGGCAAAAGTATATCCGGAGCCCATAGTCATGTGCAGGTTGATTTGGCCAGGTTTGTCAACAAACTGCATGGGCAATGAGGCCCGGAGACCTTCAATCTTTGCAAAGAGATCGCTGCAATCTTCATCTCGGAAGTTCTGGACCGTGCTTGCGGTGAGCATACCCACTACATCACGCCAAATGGTGGAGGCGAGGACAATGTATCCGAATTCGCCAATCTCACCACCAGAACCGTGGCCAGGGGACAAAGCACTGTGGCCAAGATACTGGGGTAGAGTCTTGACGTAGACTGCGTTGCCGAACGCAAAGTTGATATCGGAGCAAGGCAGCGATACATCCGACGTGTCTTGCACCGCAAGAGCCGCAAACCGGCCCGGGGTGCTTGTCAAGAGACAATCGAGGATATAAACCAACCACAACGTACGTCGTAGGCTCTCATCACGAAGGAACTGGTCTGCTTGATCAGAGCCGTGATGGCCGTTGAGGATGCGGTACATCTGCAGCATACGAGCTGCCTGGCCAAGGTAGATGTAAGCACGAACTGCGTTCCTCGTCCCCCATTCATGAATGACGATGAGACAAAGGGCCTGAATATCGGCCAGGTTGGGGTGATCCAAGTTCTGGTTGATCAGTGCGATTGCCTTGGAGGCATATGATTCTGCGGCATGAGTTGGGCTTCCGTGTCGACGAATGAGTGTTGGTGAGCTCCTGCGCGTCAAAGGGTCAGTAAACATTCGGCACAAACCCTCTCAAGAGGTATTCAGCTCCCCTGGCTTCCTTCTGTCAAGTCCAAATGTGGCAATTTGACGAACATGAGCCGGGCAGTCGGGTGCTAGGAAGTGGCGTGATGCACCGATGGGTGCCATTGGCAGCACAGGCATGCAAAGCGACTGCAGGATGGGCCGATGCAAAACGGAATCCCCTCCACGCCGCACAGAGATGATGCCACTCATGGAATTCAAGGGAGAAATGAGGCAACTTACCGAGAAGCACAGGTCAAGAGACCGTAAACAAGTGTCGGCTCCAAAGTGGCATTCTTGAGCTGCTGGACAAACGTGGGCTTATGGAAAGCCACACAGGCCGGGAACGTCTTGGAGACGACTCGCTCACATTCGGCGATGAGTTCTGGCGTAAGCCTGAGGCGAAAAGAGTCAGCAAGAATAACTAGCTTCGGGGAGGAGGATGCAGATGCGCAGTTGGGCAATGCTAGGCAAAGAGACGGGCATCCATCGAGAGCACATGGCGCCACCAGCCGAGAACGAGCCCAGTCAGGCAGCAGACACCAAACCGGCTGTTTCGACGCCGGCGTAGATGGGGCGAAAGTGTCCTTCGCGGCAGCTCGTTGGCGTGGGCTCGACGGGGTCCCAGCGATCAGCAGCTGCGGAACAGATTTCGGTGCTCAAGCTCGGTGCCATGTGAGGGGAGAGGGGAGACGGCTGGCCAGGCAGCGCAAGTCGCCGGCATCTCGGAGGAAGGGAGCGAGAAGGTGTGGATGTGGAGGGTGCCGAGCCCAAGGAGGAGTGGTCCGTAGCGAAGGGTGTGGCGCGGCACCACAAGGCCATGCAGCGCACAGCGCAACGGCCGCTTGGCCCGGGGGATGCTGGACGGTGCAAAGGACGAGGGCCACGACGAGGCCACGACGGCGGCGGGGGAAAGCAGAAAATTATGCGCGCAGGCAGCGAGCACACGAGCACAAGGGGGCGACGAGATACTCACTTCTCGGGGGTGACCTGGGCGTGCCTAGCGGATCCAGAGCCCACCACGGGCTGCCTGGCATCAGAGGCGCCGGCGCCGGAGGCCGGGAGGCTGTCGCGCGCTGGGCGCTGGGCATTTGCGTGGCGAGCAGGACTCTGGCCGTGATGGTGAGCCATGCTCTCCGAGGGCAGATAGCACTCGTGCATTCCCTTCGCGCAATTCTTGCAGGGCGCGCGGCCATTTTCGTAGACGCACTTGGTCTTGCCTTTGCGGCAGCGAACACATGCGCCGCCAGCCCTGAGGGCGGTTGAGCGAACCACGCCCGACGACATGGGGACGGCCTGACGAGTGGACGGGAGGCAGCAATGCAATGAGGGAAAAACTTGGTCAAAAGACGAGGGAGACGCCCACGGTGTCTGCGGTTGGCGTCCGGATCAAGGCGACGAAAAAGATAGGATGAAAATTGCGCGTTGGCGATGCTGGAGGAGAGGGAAAGCACGACGCCGGAGAATCGAGGGCCCTTGCCGTGCTTGGTCGGACCGGGAGACCAGGGAAGAAAAAAAAAAAGAGGCTCCTCAGGCGTGAAATGACGCGTGAGGCGACGAGGCCAAGCGGGCTGGCGACCTACCAGATAGCCAGCGTACGAGCAACGTCAGAGTGTGCTGCAACGCCAGGCTCGAGAGACAATGGCCGACACGGCAATGTACGAAGCAAAATGATGGTGGAGGGAAATGTAAAATCGAGCGGGAAAAAAAAAAGAGAGATGCGGGAATGGGGACACGCGGGAGAGGGCGAAGAGAAGCAGAGAGGCAGACACGGACGGGCGACGGACCTTGGGGGAGGGCGGGCGCCTCGAAAAGACGGGGAGGGGGCGAGCCAGAGCTGTCCATGACTGGAGCGCCAGCGCAGGGTACGGGCGGCGGATCGGCTGGGTCTGCCGGACACGCTGCTCCACCTGCGCTCGCAGAGTTCAATGTCGCAAGTTGAGTCGGCTTCAGGACGCTCCAGGTTTGAACTCTGTCTGCCTTTTCGTGTGCGCTTTCCTCGTGGACCTCAAGCCGGCTGGGGCCGGGGCTTGTTGGGCTTGGACGAGGCGATGAGGCCACGCCCGCGGCAAACGACAAAAGGCTCGACTGATTTTGCGCCCTTTTTTTTTTTCTACGTTTGTCTCTGACGAGTTGCTCTTTGCAAATTCACTCTTGCTTCTCATAGGCCGTGGGTTTCCTTCCCACCCACCCCCCCAAACCGGCCAATGTGCGGGTTGGGGATGAATTGTTTTGGTCTGCCGGCGCATCCAAGCATGCCACTTGAGCCGGTTGACCCTTCTGATTCAATGTCGAAGCTGGCCGGCCTGCTCCTTGTGCTCCAGCCGTCGCGTCAGGCGAGACGGGCTCTTGGGCTCTGGCTGGCTGAGCCTGGTGCCTTCCACGCCATCCACGGGCCAGCCGAATCACGGGCCTGCGCATTTGCACCAGCTTGAGCCAGCCATACTACCTAGGCACACTTGAGCAGCAACTAATGTACATGGCCGCGGGCCCGGCGGGAAACCGATCCAGACATTTCAAAGTCAGACATGGCAAACGCAAGTGAGCAGAACTGGCGAGGCTCGGCACGGCGGCGCTACCCGACCGAGCCTGGAACCCACCTTGTCTCCAGCATTGAAGCAACGAGGCAACCTGGCCCAGGAGTAAAGGGTCCTTGGGTCCATGTTCTCGCGACGACCTGTCAGGATGGCCGGGGCGGAGTACGGAGCTTCATCGTAACAGCGCCGGAAGGCCGCAGATTCGTCACACCTTGACGAGTTGCGAATTTCCGCATCGCATGTTTGCCTTGTCCATCTCTCCCCCTCGACCTCCCTACAAGAGGCAGATGCGTCACTGTTACGGAGCACGCGAGGCAAAAATCATCAAACTACCACCTCTGCCATCGAATGAGGTCGTGGGCTCACCAGAAATCGTCGTTGCCGCCTGTGTGCTCGTGTCACCCCCAGTGCGCTGCTCCCCCGGTGCGTGGCCTCTTGCCTCTCCGACTTTGCATTCTCGGGGTGGGATGCATTTGTGTGTTTGATACCGAGCCAGGCAAAGACCGGGCCACCCACCACCATGACAATTACCACCACCCCCTTTTCTAACTTCCAAGACTTCATCAACAAGGAGCAACGGGGAGGTGACAGCGGGAGCCCAGGGCGGCGGGCGAATAAGGCTCGTCGCTGGGGTTCGCTGCTCGAGGGAAGGAAGGCACCACCAACCACCTTTGGAACGGGGTTTCCTCAGATGCGGACGGTACGTACGTGCCTACCCAGGTAGGTACCTGCGCAGGTACTAGGTACTTTTCTCCCGCGGTCCTGCTGTCCTACTTCATGTCCCGGACCGCGGTTGTACTCAAGTACCCGAGTACCTATCAGGTACAAATGTAGGAACTCATGTACCCCGTGCTCCGTGCTCCCCTGATTTGGTTGCCAACTTGTTGGATGCTGCGTTTCTGTAGAGATTATTTTTATCCCGCTCCTCCTGCCCTTCGCGCCGGCTGCGCCCATCAGACCCTTCAATATTGCTTCCAGCAGAGACGTCAGAGACCCTGCCAGCCAGGCCACTTCACTTGGCATGGACCAGACTGCCCCATTTCATTCGGTGGGCTCGACAGATGTCCAATACATTGACCCCTTACCACAGCCCCAGTCCGGCGAGGTCTGGTGGCCATCGCTCACGGCACACTCACGGCACACTCACGACCAGGAGGCGCCGCAGATCCTGCTTCCTCCGCACTCATCGGGGCACCAGCTTCATGCCCAACACCTCTCCCCGTCGTGTCAATTTAAATGAACGGAATCGCCACAAGTCGGACACGCTGGTCTCTCCGATGCGTCAGCAGCGGCTACTTGAGCCCGTACCAAGCCGAGTCGACGTGTCGATTGATTCGATTCGGAGTGGCGCGCTTCCACCAGTAGAATCAGATAATGTTGCGGTCCGACCAGCCCTCGTGCTTTGCCGTCTAGTCTTTTTTCTCCCCCACGGATTCGGAACCTCGCCTTGTTTCCTTGTGGGGCCGAGTGTCTTCCTGAGGCTTCACGGAATCGCCAATTTGCCCATACCCGACGGGGGCTGGCCAACTTCTCATGTGCCTGTGTAACCCCGAACCTCAAATGCGCCCTTGTTGGCTTTGGAAGAAGCGTTTGGACCTCTGCCCAGTCAAATTGGCCGGGCGAGGCTGTCACCAGTAGGAGTCGGGCGGGATTGCAGACCATCACCTCATTCTCCTCACGGCACCCCATCTTCAACACTGCGCGTGTTCCTGGTTATTATATGGAAGCTCACGTCGGCTTCTCGTGGTTGAGCGCTTCAGGGCGTGTAGTACGGAGTAGTTAATCAGCGTATGCACTCGTGTGATAAGCAATGGCTTGAGTTGATGGCAGGCTACTTCGTACTCCCTACTCCGTATACTGTTTCTAATTTTGAAAGTCCAGCCTGGTTTTGGATCCCAAGCCAGCCTCCTCCGGCTCGAAGTAACTGCACCCGGTCTTTCTCTTTCTCATTGGCCACAAAGACAAACACCTAGGAGAACTTGACCTCGACCGCCACGGCGCTTGCGCAGGTTTAACGTTACCATTCTTGTCAGGAAGAACCCCAAGGGCCTTGCGACCTACCGCGTTGGGGTTCTCATCCGTCATCGCGTGAGTTTGCCGGCACCGGTGACATGAACAATTTAGCATCGGTGGAGACATTCTAACCCGCCAGCGAGGCCGGACGGCTTCGGCCCTGGTTGATGCCAGATCCTGCTGCTTCCCCACACCAGGCCATTCATTATTCAACGTTGACGCTTCGGCCTTCGGATACCTGGGTTCGGATTGGGGTGTCAATCGGATTTATCCAAGCACGGAGCAGAAGCACACCAATAAATACTCCGCGCGCCGCCCAGCGCGTACATGGAGACGTCGAGCTGCCGGTACGAAACAGGGTCGAGGGCACTGTGCAATGGCAAAATTGCTACACCCGCAGACTGCTCAAATACCATGCATGGGCTTGTGAGGACCGACATGGCCCGGTGAAGATCATGTGTCGCTGCCTGCTAACAAAATACGCGCTGCCAAGCAACAGGAGTTCGATTGCCACGGAAAAACTGATTTGGCCACAGAGAGAGAGCAATGGCGAGGCATGCTGGCAGGCACGCGGCACGCGGGCACGCAGGTGAGTGAAAAGTACATATGGCTTGATGGTCCGAGCTGTGAGACAGGCGCAAATCGGCAACCTGTCAATGATGCGAGGCAACGAGGGTATTATTGTGCGCATGGCCCGCCATGGCGAAGGGGGCATGCAGGTTGCCATGAAAGACCGGGTCATGGTGCGATCCGAGCATTGGGGGCCGTCTTCTCTTTGCCCGGGAAATTTGGGTAACCAAGGGTGCTTTGAAACAGACGCTGCAAACATTGACGCCGGCTAGGCCGCACTCCTGGCACTTTGTGTGTCCTGATCCAGACGCTCGGAGATGATGCCGGTCGCAGCGTTTTGTGACGTGGCGATCGGTGATCCACGCTCGTCGGCTGGCGTCAAGGCCAAGGCAAGGCAGGGTATCGGCATACGGAGTATTGCCGCTCACAAGTCCCCAGGCCCTATGCTTGTGCTGCGAGATGCGAGTAATCTTGATCTCGAGCTTTGTTCGCAGAGAGGGTACGGAGTAGTTGGTAGCTTTTCTCTCACCCGTCTCCCTAGGACCATGCCCAGGGTGTGAATATCCTTCCTTCCCGGTGCGGATGTGAATGGTCGGCGAATCCGGTTGTCCCCTCGCGTCTTCTCTGCCGGCATGCCATGTTGACGGGTAGAGCCACCAACAGCACAGCCGTTTGAATACAAAAGACGATGTAAAATGATCCGCAGGGGCTGAAAGGAACTGCAGACTATGCGCCCTATTCAAATAGCTTGTAGTTATATGTGGGCTTGCGGGCGGGCAGACAGGTGTCGAGACCATGTAACCGGCTAGTGGGGCCATTGCCGTTGTAGACACTTGGATAAACGACACCAAAGATATGGATGCAATATACTCGTCTACTCATTCCACCGTGAGGTATCGCCATTTTCTTAGTTTCTTAGACCAAAGTGGGACGAAAAAAAAAAAACAGAGAGCCGGATACACACTGTATCCGAGTAAGATCTCCCATCCCAATATAGCCGTACGGACTATTCATATGGCAAGGCTTTTCAAAATGCGAACCCTCAACTCGAATAGCGACAAGATGCATCTGATAAACAGCGCTTCGTGTTAAAACCCCCGAAAAGCAGCCGTTCTGTTTAAAAATAAAAATAGACATAGACACAGAAACGGCACAACCACATACCGG